GATAAATTGGTAATAGTGTTGAATCTAAAATTTGTACAGTATGCTCCTAGCAATATTAGGTACTCACTGTAATTTTTGTAGCTCCGGAATAATTAGTTTACTAGAGTAGTTAATGATGTCCTATTGCGAATAATGATTAAATCGATAGAATGGAATAAAGAAGCAACTTGGGTTTATGTAACAAAAATAATTGTTGGGAAATAGTGTCTTATCCGACAACGTGTATATGTAGCCTAAGTACGGTCGTCGTTAGAACTAGCCCATTAACTGGAGAGGCGTAAATCATATTTTACGAATCACGGTTGCAATTGATTAATTACGTCTTTGCACTACATCGCATTGCATATCATATAGGTACGATGATGGATCAACGGATTAATTGAAGGATGATTGGGAATTCGAAGATGGTGTAATGGTATTCTCTCTAGGAGATGATGCAATGGGTTTTCTATTCAGTTGATGGTGGATGATCTGAAGATCCAGATACTAACTTTTTAATATATATCTTACATAGGCAAGCCCCGGTGCATAACCCCTACTTTTCTGCAGTTTAAATTATATTTGTGCATTAAGTTTTAAGGAGTTGAATGAAACCCACTTACATATATATCTTTATCCTATGAGTCTTACTAGTATGATAGGATCGTGTAGAATGTTATGCTATAGGACTTCGGTAGAAGTCGAGTGATTGCGAGATATAGGAAATATATTACTGCATTATTATCATTTGAAAAATATAAATGGTGGAAATGATAAATGGTGATCGGGCAAGGATATGGTCTGGGTATTGGTGGGTGTAAGAGGTTGTGTCGCCGTGGACGCGGGGCATGGCTTGGTTACACTACTTTCCCTGTCTGTGTCAATTAAGGACCGGTCATTGCATAAGGTTCTAGGCAAGTCACGGACTTATTATCCCGAGCACATACTTGGGTATGGGCGCTTGGAAGACTTGTTGCTCTCTTATCACGGATCTGGCTCTTTCCGGACCGACTGTCAGGGTTTTATTTTGGTGGTGGAGGTCCTTGCACCGTACTGAGTCCGGGACACAGGGGCGCGGGCTTGGAGTCCCAGTTTGGATGGGGACCTAGACACCCGGGACAGGAGAGTGATGGGTTGGTCCTGCTTGTGCCTGGGGTTCAAGCGGGGCGTGTGTTTTCGGGGTACCCAGCTGGGGGCATTGATTCGTGAATCGCCGGAAAATCCGGTACGGTTTACCTGCGGTTTAGCATCGTAGTAAGAACTGAAAGATGAAAGATAAAATGGAAAAAAGAACTCTAATTGCTTACCACATGCTTGAAAGTAGCACAGGTGCTTACATAGAATAGTTAGTTAATGAACAAATGCGGCTATTAATAAAAACCGAACATAAGGACGCATGCTTAGTAATGCTTCCTGCAAATGCAATAAACCCACAAGCCAGATAGCCTTGCATATCCTTGAAGTCTTTTCTTTTCTCCTGTCGGGTAAGTCTTGCTGAGTACAATTGAGTACTCAGGGTTTTATTCCCCCCGTTGTAGGTGACAGATGGATGCTAGAGCTGACCCTTGTGTGTGGATACCTCCTGATGGGATCAGCGAGGATTCATTTACGCTACGATCATAGTTTTTATTTATAACTCTCACTAAATGTTTTTATAAATGAAAGTTTCATAATCTATTGTCGTAGTTTATATCAATACTTCATCATGTCATGATTAGATATTTATTTCCGTTATAATTCAGATCACATATTTATATTCCGTTGTTCAATTAAATTGTTCATAACTCTGATAATATGATTACGTTTCGCTGTTAAGTAATAAATGTTATACTCTGATGTTGTATTAAAAGTGATGTAAGAAATGGTTAAGAATGATGTAAGCTTTATTATCTCATTTGTGATCCTGATGGCAAAAATATGGATTTTCGGATTCTTACCTGGGGTGTGCCCGACGGAACCGACTAATTTAGTGTTCTCCCTCGAGTGCTTAGTGTCTAATAAAATACAAGCACTCATGTGAGGCATTAGATTAGGCGGTTCTGCCACACCGGGTCCCGCCCGTGCAGAAAGATAGGAGGGGTCAGGGAGAAGGAACGGCGGGTGTGGGGCGGGACGAGACGGACAGAGGCGGGGTAAACATGCGTGGCGGGACGAGGTAAACAGAGAAGGCAGCGATATGGTAGAAGTGCGGCACATATTAGTTGGGTCATTCGATGTCATTGGATGGAATCATATCACGTTTGGGCACCAGTAATTTTCTTTAGTTAGGGAGCCCATAAACACCTCGCGGAATGACAAGCACCTAAGATCCACAAAGTAGGTGGAGTATTTCCTCTGCATTAGCTTCACCCTGCAGTATAGAGTCGGAAAAAAGTAGATGGTACTGTCTCCTCAATTCACAAGTGATTCTAAATAAACGTTTGTTTGGAAGACAAATGCCACGGAATTAGAATTTGTGATACTAAATAAGTATTATTAAATTAGGAATTTCATATATTTTTATAGTAAATCTTTGAATATAAAAATATTGATCTGGTTTTCTATAAATCTACCTTAATATGAAATTAGTTGTCCCCTTAAAATGCAAAACATGCATTTATTTTGGGATGAGTAACCTTTCTGTAAATACATTTGTTTGACGGGTATATTTCAAACGACACAAGTAATAGCTTTTATATTTTCTTTTCTGGCTCATATTTTTGTAGGATTGGATCAAACATTTTCCATTCTGAAGCAAAAGCGCAAAACCCCACGGGGGCCAAGATGGTCAATCTCAAACAGCTGGCCATGCTCATGCAGTGTGCCGCGTGACCGCCTGTCCGCCTCTCACGTCCTTGCCCATTTCCAATTCTTTATTATACTTCTGTACCACACGCGTTAGAACAAACCTTACGTGCACAGAATAAACAAAATTAAATACGGAGTACTCCTACTAGGCCAGGGGCAAAATCTAGGCAGGTTAGTTTAATATTTTGGTCATGTTTAGTTCCCTAAATTTCTGAATTTGATACTATGCAAAAAAAAAAAGATTTATAATCACATCAAATTTGCGGTACATGCATAAAGTACTAGATGTAGACGAAATCAAAAACTAATTGCACAGTTTAATTGTATTTTAAACTAATTTTTGAGCCTAGTTTTATTGTAATGCTACAAGAGCTACATTACGCTACAGTTTTTGAGCCTAAACATGGCCTTTGAATGCCTTTATTTGGACAATTCCAAAAATTATTATCAAATCTTACAATGCACGTAGTACTAAATGTAAACGAAAAAAACTAATTACACAGATGAGAAATCATGACGCTTTTAAACCTAATATATTCATAATAAAACACTAATTACCAATACAAACGGGAAACTAAACATGGCCTTTGAATGCCTTTATTTAGTATCCATATTCATCTGCATGTACTGGTTGGATGTTGGTATAGATAGTCTTTTTTATGATTCCCATGACCTCTTTTAATTCTTCCTTTGACCAACACGGCAGTGTACTGGGTATGGTGTCGCACTAGTGAGCAGGATCATTTAATAAACTTATTTTACCTCGAAAAAACACCTGTAAATTTTATCTAAGTCAATTTGCCATAAATTTAACTCAATTTATAAGAATGTGCACATTTAATACTGCAAATACTTGTATTTTTTGTAAATTTTGTCAAACTCAAGCCTGTTGATTTAGAATGAAGGAAGAGCTGCATTCTTTTGAGATCTGAGAGTACTACCTTCGGTAAAAATGATGCTATTCTAAAACAATGGTAAGTTAAATTATTTAAAGTTTAACTAAATCTATAAAAAATTATCATACTAAATAAATACTTTAAATTCCTCACAAAATATATCTTATAGTATACCTATTCAGGGTCATGCATAATAATAACAATATTTTGTGTAAATATAGTCAAATGTAAGATAGTTTGACTCTGAGCGGACCTAAAATTGTATAATCGATTAAGGTAATAATATATACATATATATATATATATATATATATCTATATCTATATCTATATCTATATCTATATCTATATCTATATCTATATCTATATCTATATCTATATCTATATCTAATCTATATCTATATCTATATCTATATTAATTAATCTATATATTATATATTGCATTGCACAATAAAAATTAGTAAGATATCTATATCTATATCAATTATATATATATATCTAACATTAAAGAGCCAAGAAATTCTTCTTTTTTTTTTACTCTCCAAATTCCTTTGGTGTCCTTTGTGTCTCGTATGAAATTCGCACTCATACTTATACTCGTTAGAATAACTTGTGTATAGAAATGATTTAAGAGTTTGATTCTAAGACATATTATATACTACTGAAACGCACGAAACACGTTTGCTACTACAGTCTCATTTTTGGCTCTCATCACGTCTTCTGCTATTTTGTTGTAATTCAGGGTGCAAGATACGTGCACGCTGGCCCCGCACATTCTCCTCTGAATAAAGTCCGCTCACACAGGAAATATTCCGTGCAATTAACACCTTTTTCCTCTTTTTCTATAAATAATCCGTCCGCTTTTGTTAGCTTTTTCTCCCACGCGCTGTGACAGTCAGATCCCTCTCAACACGATCCCCCCCTCCTCCACTCCCCAAGTTTGAACTGGACTCGCGGTCCGCCGCTCTCATCACGTCTTTCGCACTACTCTCGGCTCCAGCCCACGCCACGCCTGGCGCTGGCACGAATTCTCGGACGCAAAACCCGGAGGCGAACGCGGGTGTGCCCCTAGCCGCCCACTGCCCCCGCGCCCGTCATTAATCCTCCGCCGCGCCCGCCTCTGCCACCCCCTTCCCCTCCCCGCTACGCGTACACTCCTCACCCTTGTCTTCTCCCTCCTCGCCTCGAACCAACGCCGCTGCGCGTGTTTATAGCTGCCGCCCCCTCCACTCCTCTCTCTCTCTCTCTACGCGTTCGTCTCTGTCTGTGCGCGAAAAGTACAGTACGCGTCACTGCGCCGCACCGCACCGAGAGAGATCGCCGCTGAGCCGCAGATGAGATGAGAGGAGCCGTCTTCCTGGCGCTCCTGGCCGCCGCTGCCGCCGCCGTCTTCGGCGGCGCGGCGGCGGCGGCTTCCGAGGGCCGGCCGACGGCGGCGGTGGAGGTGGACCCGTCGTGGCGGTTCCCGAGCCGGCGCCTGCGGGACGCGTACGTCGCGCTGCAGACGTGGAAGCGGCAGGCCATCTTCTCCGACCCCTACAACCTCACCGCCGACTGGGTCGGCCCGGGGGTCTGCAACTACACGGGCGTCTACTGCGCGCCGCTCCCCTCCGCCTCCGGCCCCGACCGCCGCGGCGCGCTCGCCGTCGCCGGGGTCGACCTCAACCACGGCGACATCGCGGGGTTCCTCCCGCCCGAGCTCGGCCTCCTCGCCGACCTCGCCCTGCTCCACCTCAACTCCAACCGCTTCTGCGGCGTCCTCCCGCACGCGCTCCGCCGCCTCCGCCTCCTCCACGAGCTCGATCTCAGCAACAACCGCTTCGTCGGCCCGTTCCCGGACGTCGTGCTCGACCTCCCGGCGCTCCGCTTCCTCGACCTCCGGTTCAACGACTTCGAGGGCGCCGTGCCGGCCCGCCTCTTCGACCGCCCGCTCGACGCCATCTTCCTCAACCACAACCGCCTCCGCTTCCAGCTCCCCGACAACTTCGGCAACTCGCCGGCGTCCGTCGTCGTCCTCGCGCACAACACATTCGGCGGATGCCTCCCGGCGAGCGTCGCCAACATGTCCGGGACGCTTAACGAGATCCTGCTCATCAACAACGGCCTCACCTCCTGCTTCCCGCCGGAGATCGGCCTGCTGCGGGAGCTCACCGTGCTCGACGTCAGCTTCAACCAGCTTGCCGGCCCGCTGCCGCCGGAGCTCACACTGATGAGGAAGCTCGAGCAGCTGGACGTCGCGCACAACCAGCTCACCGGCGCGATACCGCCGGGGATATGCGACCTGCCGCGCCTCAAGAACTTCACGTTCGCCTACAACTTCTTCACGGGCGAGCCGCCGGCGTGCGCGCGCGTCGTGCCGCGCGACAGCGACCGGAGCAACTGCCTGCCCAACCGCCCCGCGCAGCGGACGCCGCAGCAGTGCGCCGCGTTCTACGCCCGCCCACCTGTCAACTGCGCCGCGTTCCACTGCAAGCCGTTCGTCCCGCCAATGCCGCCGCCGCGGCTCCCATCACCGCCCCCGCCAATGCTCCCATCACCGCCCCCGCCAATGCTCCCATCACCGCCCCCGCCGATGCTTCCACCACCACCCCCGCCTTCGCCACCTCCACCATCACCGCCGCCGCCGTCTCCACCTCCGCCACTTCCGTCTCCTCCGCCGCCATCACCACCGCTGCCCTCACCACCGCCACCTCCACTGCTGCCGTCACCACCACCACCATCACCACTGCTGCATTCCCCACCTCCACCATCCTCGCTCCCTCCCGCGCCAGTCGACCACCCGCCACCACAGTGCCCACTATGCCCCGTTCTGCCGCCACCGCTGCCCTGCACTCCAACGCATCCATGGCCTCCGCCACCACCATATTACCCCGGTCCATTGCCACCCACATACCCTGTCCGATATGCATCACCTCCTCCCCCACAGCAGCACCATCCATATCCATCAGTATACCCATATCATTATGGATCGCCGCCACCCCCTCCGCTGCATTGATACAAAGAATCTCAAACGCAAGGAAGGGTAGTTGGTTTTGCTCTTGCCCCTCTGGCAATAGCTAGCAGCCAGATTCACCGATGTACGTGGTTGATGGCTACAGGCAGCCGTTGGTGCTAAAAGAGATTGGATTGAAGGTGATGGTTTAGGTTTGGGATTGGTGGTTAATTGGCTGTGAATAAGAAGAGTTTGAGAGGGACAGAGGAGGATTGTAGGTGCAGGGATATATCATATATCTGGGTGTATAGAGAAGTTTCAGTTCTGTTAAGTTCATTCAGACATAAAAGTTTAGAACAACAAAATTCCAGTGACATTTGTTCCTTTTTGTATCACAGCTATTGTCGGTTATTTATTCTTATATTATTATTCAGTTCTATTTTAGCATTATCATTTTTGTTTATCTTTTTCTGGGTCCTGTTTATTCTCTACAACATGTTAGTCTTGTTATTATTTTTAAATCATCTTTGTTTTTCCTTTCCTCTCCTTGTTGTGCTCTGTTACTTTTTGCAAGCAATTCATTGCATACAGCAGTTTACAAGTGAAATCAGAAACATGTTTTGGATAGAACTTTTCATTTTCCATTCCACCTGTTCCTGGCTTGCACAACCTGTATAATTAGGGGATGACCTGGTTTTGTGTTTGCCCCTGTGGTTTGAATGGCACTGAGAACATTAGCGCTAGTTGATCTGATTGTGATAGGGACTGTAAGAGTTTAGGTTATGTTATTCTGCACTTGGCTTGGTTTGTGTCCCATTCCTTGAGCAGCTTCAGCTTCAAGTGGATGGTAGAAACCCGTTTGGTTGTTTAATTGGTTGTGTCCCGTTGGTGCTACTGATGAAAGAAATTCCACTCCCTCTGTAGAAAATCTAGTAGCAGGATTCTGAACTTTTTAACTCAGACTAGCAGATTTTGAACTGGTATATGCACATCGAAATGGCATGTCTTTTTCAATTCTGTACATGGAAGAGAATCTACCAAAGCGCAATAAAAATATGTAAAGAACGGTGCAACTTTCTTCAGGATTTGGTGTCTTTGTCTCGTTAAGGTATGGCCGAGGTGCTGATATCCTGGCTTTCTTGCCATGTGCGTTCTTGCTTGCTTCTGAAGTACGTATCTTGGTCAGAACTCAGCAATATATTTTTTTTTTCCTTCACCCCAAGAACAACACTTGTGATCTTGTCGATAATGATAATTATTATTCGAGAAGAATATATTTTGCCAGCTCTTGCCTGCTACAGCCACTGGTGGCTGCTGCTATGATGTTTATACTGCAGTGAGCAGGCTTGGACTGTGAATCTTCTTTTAGCAGTACTGTACTGAGCCCTTTTTCTATAGTTTCTTAATTGTTTGCTAATCCTTGATTTGACCGGTTGATTGCTGGTTGGAATATCTGCCGGTCAGTCCCAAACTGCAAGTCTTGCAAGTTGCGGCCATTGTTTAAGCATGTTCCCATTTGTCCAGAAAGCTTGTGACTATGATGTTGTTTTAACCTTTAGCTTTTTGGGGACTGAGAGAGCTGTCGGCTCTCGGCTGTCTTTACAAGCGGTGCGCACTAAGCAGGTGAAACTACCCCAGCAGGCAGCAGCAAGCAAGATTCACAGCCAAGGGGATTGTGAATTGTGATTGGAGAGTGTTGCTGCCGCAGCACTACTAGTAGTACGCGGCAGGGCCTTTACCCATGTCAGCCTTGGGTTCTTTTGAGGGGAAAAGGATAGTACATAATCTGATCACGCTTGCTTTTGTGTTTGTGTTTGTGTTTGTGCATTGTGCTTGTGCCCCAGATGACCGTTATACCCGTTGGTTCAATACCTTTTGCTACTGAAATCAGTCTGCATCATGGCCTCCTGCTTTTGCATAATACCACCTCCATGCCAGAAAGTATCTATTTTTAGGTTTGTTCCGAGTCAAATTATTTTAGCTTTTACTAAAATTTTAAAATAATAATATTAACATTTATGGCTCTACATAAATATATGATAAAATATCTTTTATGATTAATCTAATGGTATATATTTAGTATAATAAATATTAGCTTTGACTAAATATCTTTTGTTCTAGTTAATACTCCTTTTTTCGTAACAATGACCCTGTTGACACTTGATATGTGTGTTTGGTAGGATTTAAAATTCTCGTAAAAAAGTTTCGGGCTCAGGCCTTGTTTATATTGCCTCAAAATTCCAAGTTTTTTCACTCTCTCTCCATCACATCAATTTTTGGACACATGCATGGAGCATTAAATGTAGGTAAAAAATAACTAATTACACAGTTTGGTTGTAAATCACGAGACGAATCTTTTGTGCTTAGTTAGTCCATAATCGGACAAAGTTTGTCAAATACAAACGAAACGTGCTACAGTATCCAGATTGCAAAAATTTGCGATCTAAACAAGGCCTCACATTCACTTCGTGGAACTGTGCTAGCTCGTTGAATTATTTAATGCTGAAACTAGAACAAGGATAAATAGCTTTTGGGTGTTTTCTAAACTAGTAAAAAAAGAATCGGTTCTAAGTAACATTTTATGAAACGTTTTTTTTTTCCTTTATAGGTTTGGCAGCGATTTTAATGATTTTAATGAAAATGTGAAACGTTCTTTACTGCAAAACGGATCCAAGATGCGCCTCTCGGAATCTTGGTTCAGAGTTGTCTGTCTGGAGGCCGTACTGCTTAGAGCACTGACTCATGAGGTTGCCACTGTTTAAGCCACTATCATCCTCCGCCAAAGTGGTGTGCACTCTCCAATCTCCCATGTTAGCCACTGTGAGTCTGTGACCGCACAGCTTTGTGCCTTTGTATGCAACAGTAGACAAAGCTACTCGTGACTCGTCTCTTCAGCACGGGACAGGGGACTCTACAGTAGACAAAGCTTTGTGCCTCGCCGAGATTGTCGCTGAGATGTCTTCCTTGAGGCACCTTTTTCTTAGAATAATCATCGTTTTTTGTCAATTCTTTTGTGTTGGTAGCAACGTACGGGCCATGTGTCATTACCAACTGGTTTATAGCAAATTTATTCACTATAAGCAAATTAAGCTTCAAATCAAACCCATACTCCCTCCATCTAGGGCGGAGCTGTCAAAAATCCGAGCAGTTTGTTAGGTTCCCTGTGGTGTAACCTGCACGGGTGATCGTATTTTTCTGGATTTATTTCAGGATTTAACGGCCTTATGCTTTCAGTGGTAGGCGACGTTCCCATCGACAGCGATGCGTATGTGGTGACTTCGTCAATCTTCATATGTGCCGGCACAGTCTTTAAGAGGTGCTCATAGGGGTAGGGTTTGCATATGTGTGTTCATAGGGGTGAATGTGCGTGCGTGTCGAGCGTCTGCGTCTGTACTTGTGTAATTTGCAAAAAAAAAGTGCCTAGGCAATTTATAATAAACCTACATAACAATGGTTCAAAAAAGCAATGGATAAAATACAAATTAAGAAGATATATCAATTCCATGCATATTTGTACAACAAACACGATAAGAACAAGATGTGGTACAAAATAAGTACCTAAACCTAAATATAGATAATTATTTAGTTTATCCCTGGCTCCCTGTCTATCATATCATCTACTACTATATTAACAAGTGAACCTGAAGCTATACATGAAAGTTTGAACATTTAAAATCAATAGGGATGCAATATAAAAATATAATTTATTAGCGAACAAAAATAGATAATATGACGCACAATATACTAGAGAATAAAATGGATTTCAATGTCTAGTCCTTTTCATTGTGTAATTCTAGTAGAAGTCAACAAATTTCAGCATAAATAACCCATGAGTTTAGTTTATTCAATTGAAATTTTGAAATAGAGAGGATTAGACCTGGACATAGGGACTGGGAAATCATGAAGAAATGAGAAATGGAACACTGATTTGCTTCACTATTTGTGTGCACCGCGCATTGGCAGTCCACCACTACGCGCTACGTGTCTACGTCTTGGCATCTCCTACACTGGCGGACTGGGCTACCAGCGGCGCATCACCCACTCATTCGCCGTCTGGCGTGGACATCAGTGGAGTTGGCGTCTTGGTCTAGCATCCACTTGCGAACCATGGGCGTGACATGGCAGAATCATCTAATCTAATATCCTTTCAAAAGTACTTGTCTTTTATTAGACACTAAGTATCATACCGTTCCGTCGAACACACTCTAAGGGTTAACTCGAAAATCCACATTTTTCCGTCAGGATCATAAATAAGAAAATAAAGCTTACAACATTCTTAACCATTTCTTACATTACCTTATTACAACATTAGTGTCGGGTTCATAAACCCGGGTTCTCAATTGGCCCGTTTTCTAGTAAAAACTCGACCCAACAGACGACGTAGCGACAACGCGCGCCTCCTGGGCCGGCCCAGATACCTAATGCCAGGCCGGAGAACGATCCGGTCCCCAACCGGAAGGCCTAGCCAAGGTGGGGACATAGTCCGACTCCGACCTTTTTTCCGACCGGGGATACGCCGGGTCTCTGCTTGCACCTCTTCCCCAACCGACACGGTCGGGGCCGACTGGGAACGACCGAACGGGGACGCTCGCTCGTTAAGGGCCCGGGGATCAGACGGAGCAGATATGGTAAGACGCTCAAGTCAAACCGCAATACCGAGGACCGTACCCTGCCATATCCTGCGCACCTGCAGGATGGTGCCACCAAGCCATGCCAGATATATACTATGCAACCTTCCAGGCGTGTCAGAACCCAAACAGTATTATAGGCGCCGACATTTGCCATACCAGGCGAACACGGTAGAGCCTGCCACATGCATCTGGACATAAACAGTATTATGGGCGCCGACAACCGTCTCGTACCCAACAACGTGGACAACAAGACTAGGTAGCACAAGTATACATTCTCTCTCTCTCTCTCTAACTTTTAAGAGCCCATCCGCTTCGACTATAAAAGAGGATGAGCTCTCTCATAAAAGGGGATCTAGGGATATCTGGCTATTCTGGCTCTCTAGCTCTCCTAAAAAAAGAGAACATAGACGATTGAGCACTTGAGGACCTAAG